TTATTAGGTGCATGCCATTTATACTTATTACATTTTCTTGCTCTCTTGAACCTTTTATTAACATATCCTTTGTCTCTTAAAACATTTTTTTGGATCTAAAGTCTATTTTGTCTGATATTAGTATAGCCACCTCTGCTTTCTTTTGATTACTCTTTGCAAGAAATATATTTTTCCATCCCTTCAGTTTCAATGTATTTGTTTCTAAAGTGAGTGTTGTGGAGAGCATATTATTGCATCATGGCTTTTAAAATATTTTATTTTTTTATCCATTTTGCTAATCTCTGCCTTTAGATTGGAGAGTTTAATTTATTTACATTTCAGATAATTACTGATAAGGAGGAAATTCTGTCATTTTGCTATTTTTTAATATGCCTTATAGGTTTCTGAGTCCCTCATATCTTGTGTATTTTGATTCTTATTGGGGATATTAGTGGGGCCTGACTTTAGCTATGGTACTTTCCTTAAAACAAACAAAACTTAAATCATTTTAATGGATCAGAGTTAGGTTATAGGCAATAGATATGTTTGTTTCAAGGTAAAAATTTTTAATCTCATCTATCACCTATATAGATTTAGGAATTTTGGAATTTGTTTAAGCCTAAAAGTAGTCATTTGCAATCTGAATTGCTGGAAGAGTAATTTTAAATAAAGTAAATTGAAGTGTAGCGGGATTCAACTGCCCCAACCATAATACCCTATAACTTTTAGTATAATTAAGGAATCACATAGCAGAACAAATGAGACCTTTATAAGTGCCAGAGTGTCTTTTGTGGAGAAATGTGTGAAACATCCAAACTTGTGTTCCTAATGAGGATGCATGATGAGGAAAGGTAAAAAGTATAATCTTTTTACAGGTTTACTCTTACCCACATTTTTTGATCAAGTTAATGACAGTAATATATGTGAAATAAATTTGCCTGTTTACAGTTGGGCTAACACATTCATAAACTAATAATTGGATGTTATATGAGTCAGGTAACTAGATGAAAAAAAATGTCTACTTTAATATAGTAATTTAGACTAGGTTAATATACACAGACCATGTTCACGGTAAGTATTTCTCTCTTAATGTAAATGGTAATAATCTATCTGCCTATTGCTGGGACGATTATTCTTCCTTTCTTTAATAACAAAACAGATATTTTGACCTCCTTCCCTCAGAGTTCGTCACTTTTTTCTTTAATGATGCTGCCAAGGGTATGATGGGCATATTCTTTGGGTTGTTTCTTATTAAATACTCAGGGTTGCAGTTTTTCTCACATTGATATAGCTGGTGTGGGGGAATAATAGTTAGCTCCCGTATGTTCTTCTCGAAGAGTGATTTATTCATTTCAGATGGTGAAACAATTAGAGAAAGTCAACAAAAGATGATTTGTATTCATTGTAGCTATTTCCCCATTTCCTGTGGCTGAACCAGCTACCCAGATATTCTTTAACTGTGGTCTTTTCCTGGTTGCCCGCTCCCACTCCAGCAGGAACAATATAGAGTTTAATAGCAAAGGTTCTCATGGTTAAGTAGAGAAATGTTTCTTAAATGTTTTTAAACAGTGGAAGCTCTTTGTCTAATGGTATCTTGTAGGAAGACCTATTTGTAAATAGATGAGAGTAAAATAGTGATGTTGTTCTGGTTGAATGGGAACTGGACCAAGTTGTTAAGTCAGGGCAAGTCAGAAGGGAATCATATTTCCTCAGATTGAATTTACAAGATTTAGATGGGACTTTGGAGTGTGAACAGTGTATGTTTCTTTGCACTTTAAAAAAAAAATCAGTTTAAACTTGAAATACATTAAAAACCATGTATATTTGAAGTATTTATATATCTAGAATATACAACTTTAGGTTTGGGGTGTGTGTCAGAATTTCTTCTATGGATTATTTGTGGAATGAAAATTAGGACAGCTTATGTGTATGAAATTCTGATGCCTGGTGTGTGTACACGCTTATTGACTTAGCTCATGGGCTTCATTTCAGTCTTAAGCTAGTGAGAATTGAAATTTTCAGTTTTTAGATTCCCTGGACTCTGGAACTAATTCTAGTTGAGGAAAATCTCAAAAATTCAGATCTAAAATTTTGTGCTTTTCTTGAGCTAGAGTAGACACAATTGCTTGCTTTTCCTTATGCATGGGCTAGCTTGAGGAAGTTGATTTTGCTGTATGATTTTCTGCTAAAATCAAATTCCCATATAATTTTAGTATAGGTCATTGTTAAATATATAAAAGCCTCATACAGACCCTCCCCCAATTTAGGGTAATGTATGCTGTGGACTTTTAGGTGACAGCATAGATTTTTAATGTAGCTTTTTTTTTTTTAAGTGAACATATCAAGATTCTGTTGTCATATAATAAAACAAAATATTAAGCTTAGAGCTGGATCACTTGACCCTTATCTTCTTATCTCCTCCCAGTTAAAAATGCTTGCAGCTCTTTACTGAAACATTTCTTTAATGAAAAAGAAAATAGTGAAGATTCAGTTGTAAAGAACAGGATCTACTCTAGATACCTTAAGCAGAATTGTTGAGAATTTATTTGTATCAAGCATTCCCTTAGATCTGCAGTTGGGATCAATGCATTCAAGCCTCAGCAAAATCTTTTTTGTAGTTTTAGCCTTTTTTCAGAAAATCGGCTTAGTCTGCCCACGATAGCCACTCTGCTTCCTGTCACAATGCCTCTTTCCCTGCGCATACAGAGAATCCTTGCCCTTCTCCTACGGTGTTACTTTGTGGGATTGATGCTTGCCACACTTCTTACAGAAAGTTCAGCGGGTTTTAGGAACGTTCATCATGTTTGCAAGAGCACTATCAGCAGGGAAAGACAGCTTATTATTATTATTTTTAAAAAACTTCTGGAAAGCAATGGAAAGAATAACCAAGATGGCGGCATAGGTAAACACCGGAGACTGCTGCCGCAAACAACCACTTCAAAAATACAACTAAAAGACGGAACAGACATCACCCAGAACCACAGGAAAGCTGGCTGAGGAGAGACTCTTCAACTAGAAGGAAAGAGAACAGCATACCGAAGCTCAGAAGAGGCGCAGTGTGGAAAATATAAAGGTACCGAGGTGCGCGCGCAAAGCGGGCTGGTGGCTGAGGGCGCGGTTGTCGTTTTCAATCAGGAGGGAGTCTCAGACTCTGGGCTCCAGATCCGGGCGAGTCTCTAGGGACTCAGACTCAGACGGGAGAAGCGGGATTGTCCGGCATCAGTTGGAATCTGAGGGCAGCCTTCTCTCCGAGGTTTGCAGTGGCGGCCGGGGTTCTGAGAAGCAGAGCCTCTAGGACCGGGACTAGAGAGCAGCCATAACTGCTCCCTCCACCTGCCCTGTTGATCCCGCCCCGCCTAAGCCCTGCGCAGAGCCATTTGCTGGATCGCCTCAGGCAAAGGCTAGATTAGCACCTCCCCAGAGGACAGAAGTTTTCCACATAGCTGATTCTCACAGCCGGTCAGCCTGGTGGTCAAATCCCTCTAGTATTAACTACAACAATCAGGGCTTAACTACAACAAGACTGCGCACAAAAACTACTAGGGGGTGTACCAAGAAAGCGTAAAAAATGCGGAGACAAAGAAACAGGACAAAACTATCAAGGGAGGATATTGAGTTCAGAACCACACTTTTGAGGTCTCTCAAGAGGCTTCTAGAGTCTGTCGATAAACTTGATGAGATGTACAGGAAATCTAATGAGACCCTCGATGGTGTGATAAAGGACCATCTAGAAAGTAAGCATACACTGACTGAAATAAAGAATATTATACAGACTCCCAACAGCAGACGAGAGGAGGGCAAGAATCAAGTCAAAGATTTGAAATGCGAAGAAGCGAGAAACACCCAACCGGAAAAGCAAAATGAAAAAAGAACCCAAGAATACGAAGATAGTGTAAGGAGCCTCTGGGACAGCTTCAAACGTACCAACATCAGAATTATAGGGGTGCCAGAAGATGAGAGAGAGCAAGATATTGAAAACCTATTTGAAGAAATAATGACAGAAAACTTCCCCCACTTGGTGAAAGAAATAGACTTCCAAGTCCAGGAAGCGCAGAGGACCCCAAACAAAAGGAATCCAAAGAGGACCACACCAAGACACATCATCATTAAAATGCCAAGAGCAAAAGACAAAGAGAGAATCTTAAAAGCAGCAAGAGAAAGAGACTCAATTACCTACAAGGGAATACCCATACGACTGTCAGCTGATTTCTCAACAGAAACTTTGCAGGCCAGAAGGGAGTGGCAAGAAATATTCAAAGTGATGAATGCCAAGAACCTACAACCAAGATTACTTTATCCAGCAAAGCTAGCATTCAGAATTGAAGGTCAGATAAAGAGCTTCATAGATCAGAAAAAGCTAAAGGAGTTCATCACCACCAAACCAGTATTATATGAAATGCTGGAAGGTATCCTTTAAGAAGAGGAAGAAGAAGAAAAAGGTAAAGATACAAACTATGAACAACAAATACACATCTATCAACCAGTAAATCTAAAAACCAAGTGAATAAATAATCTGATGAACAGAATAAACTGGTGATTATAATAGAATCAGGGGCATAGAAAGGGAGTGGACTAACTATTCTTGGGGGGGAAAGGGGTGTGAGGGATGCAGGAAGAGACTGAACAAAAATTGTACACCTATGGATGAGGACAATGGGGGTGGGTAAGGGCAGAGGGTGGGGGGGGAAACAGGTGGAGGGGAGCTATGGGGGTAAAATGAGGAACAACTGTAATAATCTGAACAATAAAGATTTAATTTTTTTAAAAAAAGAGAAACATGCATCATGAGAAGCAAGAAATATCACCCATCCCTTCTGCATATTAGCAACTTGTCACTCCTGAGCAAGGGCTCACATCACTGAGGTCTGTGAACAGTCACTTTTCGCATTCATCCCAACTGAAAGATGGAATGACTTCAGTACAAATGCAACATATTGTAAACACTTTATTACCAAAAAAGTCAAATTAAGCCCAAGTATTTTACAGAATTTACTGCATAACACGGTGAAAAATGCCTTCCCTTAGGCTCGCTCTCCCCGAATCCGGCGAGCCAGCTGGATGTCTTTGGGCATGATGGTGACTCTCTTAGCGTGGATGGCACACAGATTGGTATCTTCAAATAGACCCACCAGGTACGCCTCGCTAGCCTCCTGCAGCGCACCGATGGCTGCGCTCTGGAACCTCAGGTCGGTTCTGAAATCCTGGGCGATCTCCCTCACCAACCTCTGGAAAGGCAGCTTGCGGATCAGAAGCTCGGTGGATTTCTGGTAACGGCGGATTTCTCTAAGCGAGACGGTCCCGGGCCTGTAGCGATGGGGCTTCTTCACCCCGCCGGTAGAGGGGCCGCTTTTCCTGGCAGCTTTAGTGGCCAGCTGTTTGCGGGGCGCTTTCCCACCTGCGGATTTGCGAGCAGTCTGCTTGGTTCGGGCCATTTTCTTTCACTCAACTCCGAAGTCGAAGTCTTAGGCCGCTTCTTAGTCCGTGATGCCGCTCCCGCTGCCTAAACAAGAGCCGCAACCCAGGAGCTAAGAGCACAGACCACCCCAACGAATAACCAAACCGCTTTTTTCCAGGTTCTGTGTTTTACTGTCTCGTTACATCTGTATTCATACCAGTAGATTTTAATCCTATCAATTTCTATTCCAAACGTTAGGGCGTTTCTTACCTCCATTCCAGGGAGTAAAGATTATGTAGCTTAAGCCTGATTGTTCATAGTTAAAGTGATTAACTACCCGCCTGGCACTTAGTTAAGGGGTTTTATTCCCTCCCTAACTTCAGGGGGAATTCCCTACCTGGGGAAACTACCTTTCTCAGAGAGGTGACCTTGGTTAAAACACATAGTGCCAGGAAGGGGAGCAAACATAGTAAGAACAGTATGCCATATACGCCAGGTCCCTTGAAACATATGTTCTGCAGATGTTTCTTCCCTGCAGGGACTGTGTCAAGCAGCAAGGATGGACCGGCTTCCGGCAGCTCAGTGGATAGAACATCGGCCTGGGGACTAAATGGTCCCAAGTTCGATTCCAATCAAGGGCATATGTGTGGGTTGTGGGCTCGGTCCCCAGTAGGGGGCATGCAGGAGGCAGCCAATCAATGATTCTCTCTCATCATTGATGTTTCTATCTCTCTCTCCCTTCCTCTCTGAAATCAATAAAATATATATTTAAAAACAAACAAACAAACAAAAAAACTTCTGTCGGATAATTAACTCAGAATACATTTCCCAAAGACACAGGTGGGTCGGTAGTTTTGCTTTTGTGCAAAAGTACATAGTATTTTGTCATGGGAAGTAGGCATTGAGGTACAGAGGACGTAAGTCCCTAATCCTAATTTAGAAATGATTGAATTATGAAAGTTCCTGCAGAGACTAAGCTTGTTTTCTTTTTTAAAGAGCTTTGTTGAGATATAACTCACCATACAATTTTCCCATTTAAAGTATGCAATTCCGTGGCTTTTAGTATATTTACAGAGTTGTGCAACATTATCACAGTCAGTTTTATAACATTTTTATTACCTCAAAAAGAAACTCTACACCCCTTTACCTTCTCCTCCCACCCTAATCCCTATCTCCCTTAGTCCCAGGTAACTAGTAATCTGTCTCTATAGGTTTACTTATTCTGGGTATTTTATATACATGGAATTATATAATGTTGTGGTCTTTTGTGGCTGGCTTTTCCCATTTAACATAATATTTTCAAGTTTAATCTAGGTAGCAAATATTAGTACTTTGTTTCTTTTGATTACTGAATAATATTCCATTATGTGGCTATATCACATTTTACTTATCCATTTATCCATTGATGGGCATTTGGGTTCCACTTTTTGGTTACTGTGAATAATGCTGCTGTGAACATTTGTGTATAAGTTTTTGTGTGGATATAGGTTTTCATTTTTTGGGGTTGTACCTAGAAATGGACTATCTGAGTCATTTGGATACTTTATGTTTAGCCTTTTAAGGCACTGCTAGACTACTTCCATTTTATCTGCCATTTTACATCCCCTTCAGCAATGTATGGGGTTTCCCATTTCTTCACATTCTTGCTAATATTTGTTATCTTAATTGTTTACTATTTATTATAGCCACTTTAGTGGGTGTGAAGTGTTACCTTATTGTAGACTAAATTTTAAATAGTAGCTAGGCATAGCAGGGATGATAATAGTCTAAGATGGAATTCATATTACAATTAAAGTATTTAATAGACTAACCTAGGACTATAATCCTCAGTAGCCATCTTAATCCTGGCTATGCGTGATTAGTATCACTTCCTAATTTTATTTTATTTTATTTACTTGTTTTTTGTTAATCTTCACCCGAGGATATTTTTTTCATTCATTTTTAGAGAGAGTGGAAGGGAGGGGAAGAGACAGGGAGAGAGAAACATTGATGTGAGAGAGACACATTTAATTGGTTGCCTCCCTCATGCTCCCTGACCAGGACCCAGGATCAAGCCTGCTACTGAGTTATGTGCTCTCAACTGGAATTGAACTTGTGACCCTTCAGTCCAACGGGTTGCTGCTCTAACCACCAAGCCAGACCAGGTAGGGTTCATTTCCTAATTTAAAAAAAAGAGTCAGAGATTTATCTAATCTCTGAGGATATTGTGTGATTCCTCAACCCTCAAACATTTCTTTATTGAAAAAGAAAATAGTGAAGATTCAGTTGTAAAGAACAGAATCTACTCTAGATACCTTAAGCAGAAAGGGCTTATTTACCATAGGATACCAAAGGGCTTAGGGAATTGTTGGGATGTATCAGTCTGGTCTTTCAGAAGATAGAAACCACACTGTAATTTAACAGGAAAAGATTTGTATAAAGAACTAGAGGCCCGGTGCACTGGTAGGGTCCCTCTGCCTGGCCTGAGGCTCTCCGACATCCCCTGAGGGATCCTGGATTGCGAGAGGACACAGGTCAGGCTGAGGGACCCCTCTAGTGCACGATGGGGGCCGGGGAGGGAACGCGGGAGGGCTCCAGGGCGTGTCCGGCTCGTCTTGCCCAGTCCTGATCTGCCGGACCCCAGCAGCAAACTAACCTACTGGTCGGAGTGTCTGTCCCCTGATGGTCAGTGTGTGTCATAGCTACCGGTTGAACTGTTGCTTAGGCTTTTATATTATAGACTAGAGGCCCAGTGCATGAAATTCATGCATGGGTAGGGTTCCTAGGCCTGGCCGGTGATCAGGCTGGCTGGGGCCTGCCTTCCCCCGGCTGCTGGCTGGGGCCTTCCTTCATAACATGTCATCCTCTGGTGGTCAGCACACGTCATAGCGAGCGGACGAACTCCCAGTCAGTCGAACTCCTGAGGGGAAATTTGCATATTAGCCTTTTTAAAAAATATATATATTTTATTGATTTTTTTTACAGAGAGGAAGGGAGAGGGATAGAGGGTTAGAAACATTGATGAGAGAGAAACATTGATCAGCTGCCTCCTGCACACCCTCTACTGGGGATATGCCCACAACCAAGGTACATGTCCTTGACCGGAATCGAACCTGGGACCCTTCAGTCTGCAGGCCGACGCTTTATCCACAGAGCCAAACTGGTTAGGGCTAGCCTTTTATTATATAGGATTATTGACTAGCCTGGCCAGCGTGGATCAGTGGTTGAGCGTCAAACTATGAGATCACGATCCGATTCCTGGTCAGGGCACATGCCTGGGTTGCAAGCTCGATCTCCCAGTGGGGGGCGTGCAGGAGGCAGCCAATCAATGATTCCCTCTCATCATTGATGTTTCTCTCTTTCTCCCTCTCTGAAATCAAGAAAAATATACATTAAAAAGAAGAATTATTGACTATACTGGGATTGGAGCAATGAGGGTTTTACAAGTAAGAAGTAAAGATAGCTCTAAGGAATATAGGAAAAGCTGATATAAAGAGTAGTTACTGAGATAGAGTGGGGCTGAGATAGTAGATTTCTCTCTCCATCTGAGGTCTAGACCTTGTTGGAAAAGGGCAAGGTCAAGGCAAGTAGCTGTGGGTGGTGAATTTGCTGGCTATCAACCTTCTAGGGTGCCAGGGAAAGCTGTTCATGGGGAGATGTCTGTCCGGTCTCTGTGCTACCTCCTGTTGGGGACGCTGGGTGTGCTGCAGGAGCTTGCTGCTGGAAAAGCCATCCTTGTTGCAGGAGTGGGTCCTGAAGAAGCCTGTCCGCTGTAGCCTAGTGAGCAAATTGGAACCAGAAGCAAAATTCTCTCCTCTGCAGTGTCTTTCCAATGTCCTCTTTCGACAAAGCTTAATATCGTGCCAGCTGGCAAAGAAATGAATATTTTGAGGGCATACATCCATTCTCACAGAACAGGCACACGGTGAATTTGGAGATGAGGGGCAATAAATTAATGTCTGGCACAGGTATCACGTGGTTTACAGAATTGTTTGGAGATCTAAAGGAAGAGACTGTAGGTTGAGCTTGAAGGAACAACTCCCCAAACCTTTGCAGAGAACTGAGAAACCAAGGGGTATGTGTGTAATTGTTTCTTTTATGATTAAAAGGCTTCCTGTGTAATTGTGAAACTGCTCCTAGATCTTCATTGCGAGAACCACACTCCTGTTTTAAAATTAGGAAACTGCTGTGGTCAGGAGGCTGTGGGGATCAGGAATCTTTTGCTGTGCCTATCAGCTATAGAACTATACTGGACCAGGACCAACCTATCTGGTCTGCACCAACCCTGCCTACAAGAGACTAGACTAGCCTTTGTCAATCTTTCTACACTGGAGGATCCATGAAATAATTCTTAGGTCTCAGGGAACTCCTCCATAAAAGTTATAACATCTATAAACTTTGTGATAATAGTTTAAACAGAAAGTTTAGGTATAATAATTGTTATTATCACCTGTAATCCATTGGTGAAGTATGGGTCTTCTGTCCTAAATAGTTTGAAATCGGTACTACCTGACACTGGTAAGATGAGATTGACAGCAATTTTCTGGGAGAGGAAGATGCTGCACATCCCATGGGAATAGAGTGAACCAGCCACAGGGTCTGTGGGAGACAGGCTTTGTAGTAACAAAAGGACGAAGTAACCTTCCCATCCCTTCACTGTGGGAGTTTGTGATTAGTTTGTTTGAATAATTCTGAGAGCTGGCAGGGGACTGAAACTAGTTAGGTTTTGGATTGAATCAAGTACAACTGGTTTGGCTGATGGTGGAACGGGCTGGGCGAGGAGCCATTCCCACTGGAAGGGGCACATGTGGAAAGAGTGGGAGAACTCTCATTAGGCTTTGGGGGCCCTGTGAAGCTCAGGATTGTCAGGGCAGCACTTGAAAATAATTAGGTCTTATAATACAGTGCTTCAGTAATGACTGCTAATGCTTTATTGACAGAGGATGATATATTTTCTGTGCATCTAATTATTTTGGCCATCTTATTAGTCTATTCTTTTGTGTGGATATCCAGCCCACAAAGAATGTAAACTCTGATGTGAATTAGTAATGCAGATAGAAAAAATAGATTTTCCTTTTCTTAAATTTCCCACTTTATTTTTTATTTTATTCAAGTAGGCCTAGGAGTCTTACCACAAATTTTTACTATACAAGG